CATGAAATTTTCCATGATTTTGTTGGGTCTTACCATACCCCAAGCTATTCATTAGGCGGCTTGCAAATACTAATAACCAGTTTGTAGACATTCCATCTCCAATACATCTAATGTACCCAATACCATCAGCACAATATCTATCCAATCTGCATATCTGAAAATTATACTCATCTTCTTTCTTTCCTTTCCCCTCTCTGACTCATTTTTCTCTCCACAAGAACCCATTTTGCTTCAGGGAAAATCTGGTTCGGACAATTGGTTTACTGGGTTAGAAGAAGATTTTCTGCTTTAAGTACTAGCAAACCAAGAGAGAAACGGAACAGAGAAAAAGAGGAAAGAGGTGACAGGAAAGCTTTTCTTGCATCCCCCTAAAAACAAAGAAAGATGTATGCATGAAAAGAACGATGGCTGAAAGACTCAATCTACGTATATATGTATATATAAGTAGAGGAAGTGACAGGTAATTTTCCATGAAGCAACCATTATATTCATGTATATTATATGTGTGCGGATGACATGAGTTTTACATGGGATTTATTCGAAATGATTGTTTTATGCTTTTAGAGTTTAGTGCTTTTTTTTTTATATTTAAAAAATATATAAATCATTTATTGGGATTACCACTTTTATTAGATTGTAGTTTGAATAAGACAATTCATTCTCAAATGCTCTCATTAAAAAATTACTTTGTAATTAAAGGAAAAATTTTTGATTTAGTCTATGGATTATAGTTAATATTATATTTTAATTCTAAATTTTTTTATAAATTAATTATTAAATTTTAAAATTGTTTTAGAAAACTTTCATTAATAAAATTTAGATGGAAAATCATATCTACTTAGTATTTGTTTGGAGAAAAAAATATTGATAACAGAAATAAATTAGAAAAAACTAATATTAATTTAATATGTTAAATCTTAGAATTAATTAAAAATAATTTAACGTTAATTAAAATATTAATGACCACAAAAATAATTAAGAAATAATTTTTTTCTTCAGACATGTTCGACACCATATGTGATTTTTTAATTTAAATTTTAATAATGTTAAACATTTGTAACAAACTTTCAAATTTTAAGAACTTATTTATAATAAGAAAAAGATTTATGAATAAATTATAGCACTAACTATATTTTAGAAACTAAAATAAATACTTGTTTTATAATTAATATATTTATATGTCATTTAAATTAAAAAAAAAAAATGTACGAAACAAAGAAAAATAAATAATGATTGTGGCCACCGTAGAATGACAATGGTGGACCTTAGATACACTATATTAATCATTTACATATAAATTTATGATCACTTTGTTCTCTGTTATTTTTGGTTTATTAATTAATATAATGGTGGAAGACACTGTAGCAGCTTCAAATACACGTCCTTTATTGTCTGCTTCTATTTCAACTAATAAAATTTATTCATTGTATCATGAAAAAGTTTAGATTCATTTTGTATACTATTATTATAAGAGCACATGCAAATATATGTGAACAAAAAAGATACACAGATACGTTGTAGCAAAAGTTCATAAAAATGA